TTAAATAATCTTTACATCCAATGTGGGGCTTGAAATCACAACCCAGATATCAAGAGTTGGATGCTCTTCCGACTGAGCCATCCAGGCACCCCTCTTTAATTATATTCTTTACCCTGATGAGAAGTGTGCTTTGAATACACCTAAACTATTCAATCTTTGTTTGAAACATGTCCCTGGGCTCATTTTCCAGTCAAGTCAGTCCATCTCTAACTCTTTTGAATGTATTCTTTTAACAATTGTGCCTCTGGTTTTGTTAATCTTGACACTCTTCTATGCTTTATTGAGAGGATTAGCAATTTTATATCAGCTACCAAATCCTGCTGGTGTTATTGTTGTGTTCCTGTTTTCGTTCTTTAGTTTTTATGATAGCTGATTTTATTCTTTTATTTTTTTTTTCCTTCTATGTAATCAGATGGCATGAGGGTAAATTCATGACTCATAGGCATTATCTTTTTGGCTGGGGAGATAATTTGCTTTATTAGTCATGTCCTTCCAGCATTGAGGGAATTTTTCACTGGAGTAGATGGTGGTAAATCATAGTATTTACCTATGGGCCCAAATTATGATTTTTATAAATATGTATCTAAACTAACAATGGCTTCATAATCTTGATGTTGAGTGGTTTGTACTTATGTAACTTTTTGAATTTTTTTTTGTTGAAGTATTTCCTTCTATCTCTTATTTTTTCTTTTAGTAGCTAAACATACAACTTATACTTACTAAAAATGTCTTCCTGCCATTTGTAACAATGTGGATGGAACTGGGGGGTATTACTCTAAGTGATATAAGTCAGTCAGAGAAAGGCAGATATCCTATGTTTTTTCACTCATATGTGGAACTTGAGAAATTTAACAGAATACCATGGGGGATGGGAAGGAGAAAAATAGTTTCAAACAGAGAGAGGCAAACCATAAAAGACTCTTAAATACAGAGAACAAACTGAGGGTTGATGGGGGCAGGGATGGGTGATGGGTATTGAAGAGGGCATTTGTTGGGATGAGCACTGGGATGTAGGAGATGTGTCATGACAATCTACCCCCAAAACCAAGAGCACACTATATACACTGTATGTTAGTTAACTTGACAATAAATTATATTTAAAAAAAATGTCTTATTTGACAACTGAGTGACTTCTGGTTTTTTTTGTTTTTTTGTTTTTTTATTTTACTAATAATTCTATTCCATTGGTTCCATTGGGTTGGCTTTTAGTTCTCTGTCCTTTTTATCTTCTTTTAGCATTTTACCTTCTCCTTTTTTTATTCAGCATTTTGGGGGCATTTCCTAAATTTATTCATCATTTAATTTTTTGCAATATCACATAGCTTTTTCTGTCCTTATAGCACATGGGTTTAATTTTCTGTACAAATTATCATTGCAGGTTTTACTGTAGTTTTTTCTTTTATGTTTTGGTGCATCCATCTTGCTACTTCTGTCTCTTGTTAACCTGAAAATAAAGAGCCACAGTAAAAGGCAAACTAATGTTTATTTGGAATCAGAGAATTGTAATTTGAGGAATACAGATTCAGGTAGAAAACCCAAATAGTATCCTGCTTCTAGGGTGAAATTAAGAGGCTTATAAGGAAAAAGAAGGCAGGGGGCAGTTACATGAGTTAAAAGGGGAAAAAAAGGCTAAACTCTTGGCTATACATTGATTTACTACAGACTCTATCTTTGGAAAGTCCATAACCTTCTGAACTTGTGATCAGGGTACCTGTTCTGCTGGCTTCTCAAGTAGTTGCTTAAAACATTTGCTGTTTTGCCTAGTCCAAAGGTTTTGGTTGAGTTCAAACAGACACGGATAAGGCAATTTCTCTGCAGTGGTTGCTTGGCTCCCTTTTAAAATGGCTCCATTCATGTCAATTTTTCACATTCTTCTTCACAAACTGCTCTTAGTTATAATGTAGTGCAGTATTTGTAATTAAAACCCACCTCTGAACTTTGAGAGAGAGCAAGTGGAAAACCCCCAAATCATAGCAACTATCACATGGTCTCACTTTATCTTCCTTGTTTAGACTTGGAGTTACTTTGGTATTTTCAAGAACTTTCTTCAGTGGCACACTTTCCACACATACAGCCTTTGAAGCAATAGTGGTGTGTTTATTCTCTTTGGTTCTTTAGCATAGACTTGGGCGTGTTTTAGCAGGAAGTGAAAGGAGTCTGCTCTTAAACCTTGCTGCTGTCTCACAAGTGGAACCTTTTAACCACTGCCAAAATGTTTAGGCAAATTTTTTTTTTTTTTTTAAATTTTTTTTTTTTTCAACGTTTATTTATTTTTGGGACAGAGAGAGACAGAGCATGAACGGGCGAGGGGCAGAGAGAGAGGGAGACACAGAATCGGAAACAGGCTCCAGGCTCTGAGCCATCAGCCCAGAGCCCGACGCGGGGCTCGAACTCACGGACCGCAAGATCGTGACCTGGCTGAAGTCGGACGCTTAACCGACTGCGCCACCCAGGCGCCCCCGTTTAGGCAAATTTAAAGTTGAATATAAGACAACTTCTGGTTTTGTTTTGTTTTTTAATTTTTAAATTTAACCTGCCTATTGAAAATCATGCCTTTTGGCATATGTATAGTATTTTTGAGAGAGTGATTTGACTTTGGTAAAACCAAAATTAGATATTAATATTGAGGATTATTTATCTTTATATAAAATGTTTTTAGATTTTTTCTTAGACATTTTTAAAGATGTTTATTTGTTTTGAGAGAGAGAGAGAGAGTGAGCACATGCATAATCAGGATAGGGGAGAGAGAGAATCCTAAGCAGGCTCAATATCCATATTGATTGTGGAGCCCCACACAGGGCTTGATCTCAGGACTGTGAGATCATGACTGGAGCCAGAATCGAGAATGGGATGCCTAACTGACTGAGCCACCTGGTATACCTTCTAGGCATTTCTTTTTTTTTTTTTTTTTTTTTGCCAAAGTTTATTTATTTTTTTGGGACAGAGAGAGACAGAGCATGAACGTGGCTAGGGCAATAGGGAGAGTGAGGGAGACACATAATCAGAAAGAGGCTCCAGGCTCTGCTTCGTCAGCCCAGAGCTGCAGCCTGACGCTGCCTCTCGTAACTCACGGACCGCGAATGACTCCGGCAGCATGAAGTCAAGAATCCCACTGGCGCGCCACCTAGGCTACCGCATTTATATTGATTTATTCTTGGTCACTTACACAAAACGTCTATGTTTTAATAATTAAATGTATGGAGCATTTGTTACAATAGTTTTGGAAAAGTTTGATGTGCTACAAAATGCTGCCAGAGATGTATATCATTTGCCAAGGTCATTTAGCAACCCCAGCAACCTCAAGAAATGTAAGAAACTCGGGGTGCCTGGGTGTTCAGTCCCAACTCTTGATTTCAGCTCAGGTCATGATCTTTACATTTAAAGGAACAGCAAGAGTCTGCTTGGGATTCTCTCTCTCCTCTTTCTCTCCCACCCCTTCCCTATTCATAATACACACACTCTAAAATAAATAAACTTAAAAAAAAAAAAAAAAAAAAGAAATTTGCTGAAATATATACCAGTAATGGATTTGATATAACAATAGCTGTTAATTTTTTTTTTCTTAATATCACTACGAAAAGGTTTTGTTGTTATTGTTCTTCCATTAATTTTTGTCCAGATGACAGAAAATAATTTTGAAGAAGATAGAAAATTAGTTTTGTAGCCAGAAAAAGCTTTAACTGGAAAAAGAAATGCCATGAACATGCAAGAAACATATATACTGCCAATTTTATTGAAACAAGGTGAGTGATGAGAATTAGGCCTAGATTTAGTTAGAAAAAGCTTTGTTTGGTAGCTGTTGATGCAAATTATAAGCATAATGGAATTACTTGTTTTACAGGTAGATTGTCTTTAGGTATTTGTTTAGTTTGCTCTTTCTTTTAACAGATAAAGTAAATAGGTATGTTCTCTCATCATAGTCCAGACCTCCTCCTGAAGAGCATACATATATATATATATACATATATATATATTTTAAAGTTTATTATTTTGAGAGAGAGAGCGGGAGACAGAGGATCTGAAGTGGACTCTGTACTGACAGCAGAGAGCCTGCAGGGCTCGAAGTGAGAGCATGACCAGAGCCAAAGTCAGATGCTTAGCCAACTGAGCCACGCAGGCGCCCCAGTAGCTATATTTTAATGTACTTATGTTGGAGGTAAAGAGCAGGTTATGGAATACTTGTGGGACCTGGAATGTTACTTGACATATGCTTTGGTGGAGTTTTTGGTGTTACTCATAATAATTCCCATGCACTTTTGAGAAAGGAGACCAGGTTCCCAGGGGTGTATGAAGTAGACTTAGGTAAATAAGAGAGGTATAGGAAGAGAGAATATGGTTTGAGTCAGTAAAAAGTTAACAGAATTGATTGAGACTAGAGCTTTAGACTTTGGGGTAAATTGAACAGATAAGAGTAAATCATGGAGTAAGAAATCAAAACTCACCAGAAAAATGTTCTTCTACTCCGAGACTATTTTGTCTAGAGAAAGACGAGGCAAGACTCTTTTGCCAATTACAAACAATTTATATAAAGACAAAATACTGACCAGTTCTTTTCTCTCTGCAGAGACTGAGCAGAAGTGCTTTCAGTTAAAATAAAGATGGTGCGAGGGGCACCTGGGTGGCTCAGTCAGTTAAGCATCCGACTTCAGCCTGGGTCATGATCTTGTGGATTTATGGGTTTGGTCCCCGCCTCGGGCTGTGTGCTGACAGCTCAGAGCCTGGAGCCTGCTTTGGATTCTGTGTCTGCCTTTCTCTCTCTGCCCCTCCCCTGCTGATGCTCTGTCTCTGTCTCTCAAAAATAAATAAACGTTAAAGAAAAATTTTTTTAAAATAAAGATGTGCGAGATTTTTTGATAGTAAGTAAAATAAAATAATAGAACTACCAGACCTAGTTGATAAAGGGTTATAACCATATTTTAATGTGAATACATTTTTAAGGAAAAAACATTTTAACCCTTGCATTTTCATAGGTTTACCGAAAGTCACTGAGCTTGCCTTAAGGCTGAACCCTGTGACTTTTCAAGACTTCTCCAGGTCTGTGGTTCTACCCAAAATAAAAGTTAAAATCTTGGTAAATGTTGTTTAATGTATAGGCAATTCTGAAACCTTCTTTGTAAGTATAGTTTTCTTTCTTCCACCAAAAAGAGAAAAAAAGAAAAAAAAAAGAATCTTCCCCAAACCAGAGAAAATTTACATTACAGTAGGAACTTTAGGAACAGAAAGAGGTAAGGTTGGTCTTTTTAAAATAAGGTCATTTTACTTTTGTTTTTGTTTTCTGTGTGTGTAAGTTTTTATTTTAATTCCAGTTAGTAACAGAGTGTTGTATTAGTTTCAGATGTACCATGTAGTAATTCAACACTCCTATATATCACCCTGTGCTCATCATGATAAGTGCACTCCTTAATCACCTATTTAACCCATCTCCCCACCAAAATTAGGTAATTTTGTGACCTACATATCTACATATGTGTATCACAGAGATTTTTAAAACTTAGGTTCATTAGGCTCTATGCCCAATGTGGGGCTTGAACTCAGAACCCTGGGATCAAGAGTTGAATACCAACTGAGCCAGCCACTCACCCCTCACAGAGATTTTTAAAGTCATTAAAAAAAATATGGTCCCATCAGAGGGTTTTATTTCTGTTTTTTTTTTAAGTTAGATTAGTGACTTAAAAAAATCATACTTTAGAAATTAGTGTTAACTGTAGCTTACCTTTACCTAAATTATTTTTTCCTGTGTTCTTGTTTTTGAGGTATAATGACCTATAACATCATATTAACTTCACATATTGTAACGTTATGTTGCAATATTTGTATGTATTGTGAAGTGATTACAAGTCTGATTAACATCTGTCACTATACAGTTAACAAAATTTTTTTCTTTTAATGAGAACTTTAAGATTTACTCTCTTAACAACTTTCAAGTACGCAGTACAGTATTAACCATAGTCACTGTTGTAAATTCTTAAATTGAAAACTAAAAAGTGTATTTTTATTTTTAGTATGTGAGTATTTTATCACTCAGCTGAGCAATGAAATTAACTGTTGATTACTTTTACTGCTAGAAGAGAATCTTGATTTGAATAATCTGGAATAATTTATAGTCTTTTATTTTTCTTTTTTTCTCTAAATTTTTTAAATTTTTAAAAATTATTTTATTTTATTTTAGTGTTTATTTAATTTGAAAGAGAGATTTCGAGTGGAGAAGGGGGAGAGAGAGAGAGAGAGAGAGAGAGAATCCTAAGCAGGATCTGCGCTGTCAGCACAGAGCCTGAGGCATGGCTTGATCCCACAAACTGTGAGATCATGACCAGAGCTGACATCAAGAGTTGGACACTTAACCGACTGAGCCACGCAGGTGCCCCATAGTTGTTTACTTTTGAGTTTGAACTGAATACAGTATCATAATATGAAGCTAGGAGTTAAAATTGACCATACTTGAGTAAGGTAGCTATACTCTGAATAAATATTTAAGTGGATCATCATCAAATGTGCGGTACACAAAAGGATTATTGAGTTGACTTTCACAATTGTATTTTAATATAAATTTGTATTTATTTATCTACCCTAGTATTTTTCATGGACCTGTAAGTTTAATTTAAAACAGTGTTTCTTAGGTGGGAATGCAAGCTGGTGCAGCCACTCTGGAAAACAGTATGGAGGTTCCTCAAAAAACTAAAAATAGAACCACCCTACGACCCAGCAATTGCACTATTGGGCATTTATCCAAGGGATACAGGTGTGCTGTTTCAAAAGGACACATGCACCCCCATGTTTATAGCAACACTATCAACAATAGCCAAAGTATGGAAAGAGCCCAAATGTCACATCAATGGATGAATGGATAAAGAAAATGTGGTGTATATATATACAATGGAGTATTACTCGGCAATCAAAAAGAATGAAATCTTGCCATTTGCAACTACGTGGATGGAACTGGAGGGTATTATGCTAAGTGAAATTAGTCAGAGAAAGACAAAAATCATATGACTTCATTCATATGAGGACTTTAAGACACAAAACAGATGAACATAAGGGAAGGGAAACAAAAATAATATAAAAACGGAGGGGAACAAAACAGAAGAGACTCGTA